GATTTTTACGGTATGAGGAATTAAAACAAATATTCATTCTAAAATAACAAGCCTATTACATTTTAACACAAATGACATCATTAATAAATAACTTCCAAAATATTGGTAAGAGGGGCCTGGTTTTATATTTTTGAAAATCTCTTTGATTTAGTAAAGGACAGTTGGAGTCTCCTATCAGCTGTTCTTGAGAAAGTTTACAAAGAAATTCCTAGCTCCCGCGGATGCAGATACTGGTTAGAAAAAGGAAGACCTTGGAGACCCTCTCAGTGTCTCAGGGACCCTGAGATGTCTTGGAACGACACTTTGAGAATAATTGGTCTAGCACCTGGTGTGTTTACTAACTACATGTACATGCATTATCTCCTTTGATTCCTTGACCACCATGTGAAGTCGGGTAACTTGTTTATAAAGATGAGGAAACTGAGGTGCAAAGAGGGCAGGTGACTGTCTCAAAGCAGAGAATTGCAGAGTTCCATTCAGAAACCAAGTCTGTGACTCCGGAACTTTTTACACCTGCTTGCTCCTTCCTTTCTGACTTACCAGTGTCCCATGCCAGGACCCACATGGTTGTATGCATTCCAACTTCCCATTTCTTACACCCGGGTCTGGTACATGGCCCTGGGTTCAGGGGATCACCTGTGGAACCAGGGGAGCCACTGAGGTGTAAATGCAGACCCTTCCAGAATGTCTCTTCTGGCCTGTGAAGGGGCCAGCTTTTGTGGCCTGTTCAACAATGGGTCAAGTGACCACATTTAGTCTTTGGGGCTCAGCCAACAATGCTCTTCACCTCAGCACACTGTCTTATTCTCAACATACCTGCACACCCCACCAAAGCCATGGCAGCAGGCTTTCATACAGAGCGCTTCTTGGAGCTTATACTCCAGTTAAATCCTCTGGTCCTGGTGCTTTCAGAGCACACAGGGATGGGAGGAGTAAAGGTGCCAAATGTCAATTTAGAGATGCCTTCATTTCTACTCAAGTTGGGTTGCACTTTTGCTTCAGGCCAGTGGGCCTGCTTCTGTTTTTGTTTTTGTTTTGTTTTGTTTTTCCTGTTTTTAGAGTATCAGCACCATTGCTGATAGGTAGGGACCATTCCTGACCCCTCTTCCTGACCCCCAACATTTGCCCCTGTTGCAGTGCAGTTCCAGATGCTTCCCTGCCTGTCTTGTCTCCTCCAGCCCTGCTGTTCTCTGTGGTCACTGCTTAATTTATGTAAATATGCAACCCTCAAGTTGGGGGAGCATAACTTTCCACTCCTAGGTGTGCTATTTATTACTAGGGATGTCTTTTCTTTTAAGCCCTCTCAGCTGACAGAACTAAGAAATATATGTGTGAATAGTAACCTATGCTATACACACATTTACAAAGACTTCTATATGTAACCATCTGTTTCTATATTAAGTTAAACATGAGTTCATACTGTTTCCAATTCTACTCCAGTACCACATGGATTATTCTAGCTTCTTCCCCTTGCTTATTTGTAAATTTTTCACTCCAGCAGTGAGAAACCTGGCTCCCACCATCTCCGTCCAGTTACTTAATTGTTCATTTTCAGCATACACATACAGCAGTATCTGAATTGTTAGACCATACTCCATGGGAAAAAAACTTTCTTGACTATAGTATAGTGCTTATGTGTAGTTCCTTTCCCTTTAGTCTTGCAGGCACCTTTTTCTTCCATCCCCTTCAATGAGGTTGTTTCATATATTTTTAATACAGTCATAGTCCGCATTCCTTCTTGAGATACCCGTACCTTCCAAATGATTTTTTTAAAAATTGTATATTTAAGGTTCACTCTTTTTGCTATTAAGTTCTGTGGGTTTTGACAGATGCACAATTTCATGTACCTACCATAACATATCATACAGAATAGTATTACTTTCCTGAAAATTTCCCTTTGCTTCATTTATTCATCCATTCCCCCTCCTCTCAAACTCCTGGCAAGCACTGATTATTTTACTCTTTCTGTAGTTTTGACTTTTCCAGAATGTCATATAATTGGAGTCATACAGTATATAGTCTTATTAGACTTTGTTCCTTTACTTAGCAATATGCATTAAGGATTCTCTGTGTCTTTTTATGGTTGATAACTCATTTCCTTTTATTGCTGAATAATATTCCAATTTATCCATTCAATTTATATGTTGAAGAACATTTTGGTTGCTTCTGGTTTTTGTTGATATGAATAAAGCTGCTGTAAACATTCATGTGCAGGTTTTGTATGGACATAAGTTTTCGAACCAATTGAGTAAATATCTAGGAGTATGATGGTATGATAAGGCTACATTTAGCTTTGTAAAAAACTACCAAACTGATTTTCAAAGTGGCTGTACCATTTTCAATTCCAACCATCAATGAATGAGTTCTTTTTGTTCTACATCTTTGCCAGAATTTAGTACTGTCAGTTAAAAATTTTTTTAGTAATTTTAGTAGGTATGTGGTGATATCTGTCATTTTAATTTGTTAATTTGTTTTAACTCGAAATTCCCTGATGTCAAATGATGTTGAACATCTTGTTATATGTTTGTTTGCCATCTGTGTATCTTCTTTGGTGAGGCATCTATTCAGATCTTCTGCCTATTTCTTAATTGGGTTGTTTTCTTTTTGTTGAGTTGTAAGTATTATTTATATATTTTAGATGTGTTTATCAGATATATGTTTCACAAATGTTTTCTCCCAATCTATGCCTTATCTTTTCATCCTCTTAATGGCATCTTTCATAGAGCAGAAGTTTTTGATTTTGATGAAGTCACACTTACAATTTTTTCTTTCAGGGATCATACTTTTATTATTGTATTTAAAAACCCATCACTAAATCCAAGGTTACATAGATTTTCTCCTGTATTGTCTTCTAGAAGTTTTACAGTATTGTGTTTTATTCTTAGGTCTGTGATCCATTTTGGGTTAATTTTTATGATAGGTGTAAAGTCTGTGTCTAATTCTTTTTTTTTTTTTTTGTATATTGATCTAATTGTTCCAGCCCATTTTTTGAAAAAACTATTCTTTCTCCATTAAATTGCCCTTACTCCTTTGTCAAAAATCGGTTGACTATATTTGTATGGGTCTATTTCTGGACTCTCTATTCCGTTATATTGATCTATGTGTCTATTCTTTTGTCAATACTATGCTGTCTTTATATTAAGTATTGAAATCTGGTGGTATCAGTCCTCCAACTTGAATCTTATGTTGGCTATCCTGAGTCTCTTGCCTTTCCATATAAACCTTAGAATCAGCTTGTTGATATCCACAAAATAGTTTGCTGAGATGTGTTTGGGATTACATTGAATGGGATTACATTATTTCCTTTGGGATTTCTACATAGACAGTCATGTCATCTGCAAACAGAAAGTTTATTTCTTCCTTCCCAATATGTATACCTTTTATTTCTTTTCTTGTCTTATTGCACTAGATAGTGGTTACAGTAAGATATTAAATAGAAGTAATGAAAGGGGACATTCTTGCCTCATTTCCAATCTTAGGGAGAGAATCCTGTTTCCCACCATTAAGTCTGAGGTTAGCTGGGATGTTATAGATATTTTTTATTCCTCATTTGCCAACAAGTTGTTTTGTTGTTGTTGTTTTATTGTTGTTTTGTGAGTGTTGGATTTGTAAAGTTCTCTTGTTTTATTGTTGTTTTGTGGGTGTTGGATTTGTAAAGTTCTCTTTCTGTGTCAATTGCTATGATCCTATGATTTTTCTTCTTTAGCCTGTTGATGTGGCAGATTACATAAATTAATTTTTGAATGTTGAACCAGTCTTGTATGATAGGAATAAATTCCACTTGGTTGTGGCTTATAATTTTTTTATACATTGTTGGATGTAATTAGCCGATATTTTGTTGAGGGTTTTACATCTATGTTCATAATAGATATTGGTCTGTAGTTTTCCTTTCTTGTAATATATTTTTTTGGTATCTTTGTTCCTCTGTTCCTTTACTGCCATCTTTACATTAAGTGGATATTTTCTCATGTAATATTTTAAATTTCTTTAATGATATTTTCACTGTTTTTAAATGTTTGTTTTTAGTGGTTACTCTAAGGTTTACCATATACATTTTTTAAAATCGTGGTAGAATATATATAACATAAATCTTTCCATTTTAACCATTTTCAGTGTACAATCTAGTGGCATTATCATTTTCACACTGTTGTTCAACCATCACGGCTATTTCCAAATTTTTTTCACCACTCCAAATAGAAACTCTTTACCCATTAAGCAATATGTTCTTCACCAGTGCCTGCTAATCACTTAACCTACTTTCTGTCTCTCTGAATTTGCCTTTTTAAGATATTTCTTAGAAGTGAAATCATACAATATTTGTCCTTTTGTTCCTGGCTTATTTCACTTAGCATAATGTTTTTAAGAGTCATCCATATTGTAGCATGTGTCAGAACTTTACACAACTGGATAATATTGTATGTCTATTACCATGTACATCTTAACTTATTAGAATCTATTTTTTATTTATATTAATTTAATTTCAAAGATAGAGAATGTTACTTATATATAGTTTTATTCCCTTTTCTTTTTTTGGTGGTAGTA